ATGAAACGCTACAGAGCAAGTTCACCAAAAGCGGACAATTTAGATATTTAGCTAGATTTTGAAAACCCAACCCTCTGATTTTTTTTTCTATTTTCAACATGGCTAAATCCTCTATTCATATAAATGGTTCTGTAGCTCAGGATGGATTCAATAATTATTCCTATTGTGGATCAAGCAAGTGACATGTAGGTAACAGTAGGGAGGAAGGGGTAGTGTACTTTCCTGCCAGGACCCATAGACTTTATAATAAGCCCCCAAGTGAAAGAACTTGCCAACCCAATAGGGGTTATTAATGCTGGAATTTAGTTTTAAATGAAAATGCCACTCTGCCTTGCTTAGCAACATGTGGGTTAAGAGCTGTGTTACCTATAACAACCAATCAGTTGGAGGGTTTAAGACTATCTGCCACAATGGAAGAACCTACTTAGTGGCAGTGGGAAACACGGGTGACTCTTCCAGTCCAAAACAGATACTTCCTAGGACTACAGCAGACCTCTAAATATGTATAATTTCCACATGTATTTATAAACCCAATACAGCAATGATATGTGATCTAAAACAAATCACTCTCTAAAAATTGATATTTTTGTTGATTATTGATATGTTATTATGCCAAATTCACAATGTCATTCAAAATGACTGTCAATTTTTAGGGTGGGATTTGTTTGGGTTGCCTCATTTCATATCACATTTTATTGCAGTATATATGCTGTATTGGGTTTTTAAAGACATGTTGAGTTACACATACTTAGAGAAATATTGTTGCCCTAACGAGTAATTGTTTAAAGCAACACACAAATAAAATATTCATGTGTGGAAAAAATATTGGTGTATTTCGAATAGTACACAAATGTAAAATACAACAGAAATAGGATCTCAAGAAAGGAAAAAAAGAAAAAGAAACGGTGAATGGGATGTGTTGTCAGCAGCAGCAAATCAGATTCCAGCTGATATTTTTCTGTAGTAGGCTAAAAAAAATAATTGTTTGCTATAGACAACATTCCCGTTGTTCTTTTCATCACTTTTTCTTTGATGCAGTCCACTGTTATTAGATCATTCGTTTTGAAGGCAACTTGTATTTTTAGGTTCTGTGGTCTTAAATAGTAACAAATGACGCATATTCCAGCACTTTGTTTAAAAGGAAACGCCCAGATGCTAAACAACAGGGCATCTATTTGGCCTCTATGAAACCTACATATACATTTAAAAACACAGACCTCTACTCATAAGTATAAAATAAATTAAAAGATCCCCAGGAACAAAGTCTCCTTGTTCCTACGTCCTGTACATTACATTCAAACACAGTACAATTCTCAGTTTGAGAATGAAAATACTGATAAATTCTAATTAGGGAAAAAAAAAAAAAATCTTATTTCTGCATTTGCTTCTCTATGCATGAAGTACCTTTTGTACATAAATTCATAACACTGTAGCTCATTCATGTGTTACATTGCAGGATACCAAATCCTAGTAGTGCAACTTCCTGTTCAGTCACACATCTACCGTATAAACAGATTTTCTGGAAGCTATGAACACCAACGCCTTCTGCACGCGGTCATTCTAAAAATTCAGAAGTAACTAGCTCTCTTTAAAGTAATGCAGCAACTATGTTCTACGGGAGATGTAAAAATAAAATGTAATAAATATGAATACTATCTTCTATGCTTAACTATTTTTTTTCTCTTTTTATTAAATTATTAAAATATTCTTATAATAATAATTTATTACAATAAAATGCTACAGGCTATATTTATCTTATAGCTCCACCAAAATGCTTTAGGCAAAGTATGGGTTAAGGAACCAAAACATGAATGTTACTTATTGCCACTGCTACTGCCACGCCCCGTCAGGTTGAAAATCCAGTGCAGTGAATGGTTCAATAAGACTGAGTAAAGGCCAATCAAAATATGCAGTAATCTATCGCAACCAGTTGTCATTTTGCAATGTCACACTGTCTCAGACAACTAAAGGTAACTTTGACTGATGCTATAGGTTACTGAAATTGTTACATTAAAAACTCCAGGTAAAGAAAAAAAACGTACCCTTGTAGTGGGGCTACCCCCCTACTAAATGGGTTAAGTGCTGGTTTTCTCTAGGGGGCTCAAATAAAGCAGATATACTCACCTGATCTTCAGTCCCACAGTGGTCAGTGTTCACCTCTCTTCCCTGCCACTGCAACTATGGAACAGCCCTCGGCTTCTTCATGGCAAATGCAAGTCAATGGACTTACATAAGATGAGAGGACATCAGCACTCTTTATACCCCTGGAGCCCGGCAGGAGTGGCTGAGGCAACCAGCTTAGCAGCCTGGAGGGAGCAGGTGGGACCAAGGATCAGGCGAGTAATACAGATTTATTTGAGCCTCCTAGACACAACGTCCACTTACCCTTGCAGTGCGGGGCTAGCCCCACTGCAAGGGTAAGTTTTTGTTTGCCCAGAGTTCTTCTTTAACACATTTTTTGGCACTGCAGGGCTAAAACCCCATTTCCTCACAGACAGATACAGACAGGGCTGTGCAGAGCCTGAGCATTTGGCACAGAACCTTTAATATAGAGTGATGTGTTAAAGGGTTATTAAAGATAACAGACATTCACATTTAATAGTCATCAAATTCCAACCTATTTAAATCCATCGACCAGCGGCCTCCTTTAAGGATGTCACATTTGTGTAACCGCAAATATCAGTTTGCTCTATTAGGACTAAGCTTAGGAAAATTCGTAGAAATCAGCAACTTAAGCTAAAAAAAAAAAAACTAAATAAAACTCCAACCCTCTCCTCTACAACTGGATAGTCTACAAGACTCGTAAACCAGGATTTTTGTTCAGCTCTCAGCGCATTCAATGGGGCGGTTAAAGTAACTTGTCCAATCAGCTACTTTGTAAAGTTAAAGTATATCTATAGCCAAAACCTGTTTTTCCCTTTTGAATAGAGTAGAGAAGGGTGAAACCATTTTTACCATTATGGAGATTTATCATCATTCCCATCCTGTAGACACAACAGGAAATTAGGTAAACTCTCCTAAGTGAGGGAAATGTCATCCTAGACAATTGTTACCACAGCAAGTGCCACCATTGGAAGATTCTTCCTCTATTTTAGGTTCTGGTGACAACTATAAAGCTTGAATTGCCCATCTGTTTCTGTCTTGGTGATGGTCACTAGGACAAATAGTGACAGCAAAAAAAAAAACCCCACAAAAACAAACAAAAAAACCTGACAGGGGTTTTACTCTTCCCCACTCTGTCCAAAACTAAAAGGTTTTGGCTTTCAATACACTTTAGCATAGCAGGCATACCTTTTCTGAACTCTCAAGCCAAGAAAAGCAATGGTTATAAAAATCTAAAAATATATTACTTTTATCTTATTATGTGTTACCCAGAACCCTCTGTAGCAAGCTCTTGCTGTACTTTAGCTGCTCTAAAGAGTTTTATTACAAAAATAATTTGCCTTTAAACCTACTTTAAAAACATTTATGCCTATTTTTAGCTACTAAACAGAATGGGGCAAAAAAAGTGGATAGTATATAGACTAAAAAAATTACAAAAAAGTTGAGGCCTTTAAGGTCATTCCCTTCTAAAAAAAAAAACAAGATGGTTTGGTTTAATATTCAACATGTAAGAGTACCAGGCTGGGAAAAAAGGCTGCCGTTGTCTCATAAATATTCTTCAGCAAAGCTAAAGAAGCGTGTATTGTGCCTTGGTTAAATTGCCAAATATTTGCTAGTTTCATGCATAATGTAGGACTGTAAAACAAAGCATTACTGTAACAACAGTTCTAAAGAGTCTTATCTTAGTGCATGTATAAGAGGCAACTGGATTAACCAGTTAAAAAGATCCCACATTCATAATAATAGAGGCCTGGGTGAAGAGCTGCTGGATGACTTGTGGCTATCAAGATATCGTCTTGCCTGCTCGGTCATGATTAACTGGTCTTCAGTCTTTCCGAACACAACTGCTTCCCATTCACCGAGTGACTGCAAAGAAAATGAACACAACGGCATAAGTGCAAACACAAGAACTAGGCATAAAGGGTGTATAGGAAATAAGGGTAGATATTCAGCTCATGGGGGTTATGCCCGCAACAGAAGCTAAAAATTATCGCATGTGCAGTTCCATGGGTTTCCAGAATATGCCATTTGAGATTCCCACTCATTACTGTGTGCACCAACACTAGCGACATAACCTAATGTAATTTCAGAAAAGCCACAACCATTGCTGTTGGTAGGAAACACAGCTAATGGGGTTCTCAGGTTTTCACAACTTGGGCAATACCACTTGTGTAAGGTCAAAGCCTGCATATTAGATTTTAGTGTAGATTGCTTCAGCAAAAACAAAACCCTGCTTTTCCATTAAACCAGGGTTCTTCCCTGGTGAATCACTTCCCTGTCTATGCTCACATCATATTGGAAAGTTTCTCTGCTGGCTTGCCTGGAGAACTTATCTAACAGCTACTTTCCATAACCAGAGGGTACGTACAGGTAAAGGTCAATACAGTCCAATAGGAGACAAATGTTTAAAAAAATATTTTAAAATTGGTTATGTATTTGATTGGAGAGCTAGAGACCACTGCTTCCATACAGAGAGCAAGGATTCTTCTCCACAGCATGCCGATGGGCGGCAGACTTTTCTATTTAGGCTGTGGATAATTTCTAAATAAAAACTACTATACAACTTTGCATACCTTGTGTTTGATATCCATGGAATTTATTTAGCCATGTTCTCTTGGGCTTTAAATTAAATAACCAAAGCCGTTTAACATGAAAGAGAGCTTTAAAATAATTTCTTAACATACCTGTGGGGACTTTTCCAGCTTCATGTTTCTATAGTCAGGAGGTGTCTTTTTTCTAGGCCCTAAACCTGTTCTGTGCTTTTTAGTTCTACCATTGCAGTTCCAGTCTTCCCACGTAGACGTAGACAGTGGAGTCATTAATGCTGATGTAGTAGGTTTCTCTTCAGTCATTCCATGGTTTACATTCTTCAAAGCAAAATTAAGAATTACAAGTTGTAAAACAGCTACTGTATGTCAGTATATACATTCTATAAATCTTCTCCCTACTGTTAATGTATTGTATAGCAAGACGGCACTGTTTCATGTCATATTAAATTCAAAAGGCATTTTAGGCTACAGTATTTCAAATGCTAATGAAATCACTTACAATGCATGCTGCTCCTTAATGTTTAAAAGTTTTAGTTTCCTGCAGACTCAGCTGGTCCCCTGAGCCCTGATCCTGACTTCCTGTTTTAGAGTGACTCCTCTCTAAAGCAGAGTGCTATGCAGTCACCCATGTGCGTGCTAGTAAGCTGTGTGTATAATCAAGCTACTTCACGCCACCCTGGCCCCCTCTTCTCCCTCCTCCAAGCTAGAGGAACGGTTGCTGCAGTCTGCACTGCCCTTCGTGGCCTTGTACTGTCAGGCAGTTCAGGGAAGCAAAGCAGAGAGACTTGAAAGCAGCTGTTCAAAACATGACAACTAAGTGTTTGGACAACAATGTAAAGAAATACTTTATATTTATATCTGTTTGATCTGGATTCATTATTGAAAAAGTTTTGAGAGTTTAATACTACTTTAAACCACTTGCTCCTCATGACCAAGTGGAGGAAGATGGAAATGCAGGACTTGGCCTGTATCAGCAGAGCAGCAACATCCAGCAGGATTTCAAGAGAATTTAGCATCACAGGTCAGAGGGGATAAAAACAAAAAAAGGAAGGGGGGGGTGAAGTTCTACTTTAAGCATCAGAGATTATTTTTCTGCCAACAGAATATCTGTATTTAAAATGATTAAGACATACACACCGTCTCCAGATATAATTATGGGGAACCTGTAAGGACAGAAATAAGGGAGATGCCGACTTGGAGTGAACAACCTTATTCAGGCATTACAACATAGTAAGTCAAACAAGTATGCAGCCAGTCAACCTAGAATATTCATGCTGCATGCTCATTCAAGATTGGTGGATCATTGGATATCTGGAAAGTGCACCCTAAAAAATGGAGCATGCACCTTCAGCAATGACAGCTCCCATGTTTCTGCTCTTGCATGTCCCCTTCCTGAAGCTGGCCACACATTTTCAATCCAATCATACAAGCTCTTTTAAAATTTACCAAGAACTGTATAGTACATAAGTCTTACTTGGCAGGATATAAACGGAATGGGTTGTTTACGTGGGCCCCACACTATATAACTGTTGGCACATCTAAAAAGAGATAGTACAATCAGACTGTAATGTGTGGCAAATTAGCAGGCAGCTAGCAAAACACTTTTTTTGTAACTCATTTCACCTTTTTACTAATAGCTTTAAATTTGCCTGGAATTGCTTTTTAACCTCACTTAAAGTGGTTTCCAATCATGTAGTCACTGACAGCTATGATATAGTGATCACATGCAAACTTTATTTACAAAAGTAATCTTCAGCCTGCAGATGCCCCCTGCATCCTGCAGGTAGCAGTATCCCTCTGTTTAATACTGAAATTGTCAGATACAATGACAGTAATAAATTAAAATATAAACAGTTATTTTAAAACAAGTTATAATTAAGTTGCCAGGCACATGCCAGTAATCCTGCATTTGGCCAGGGCATCAAGACTTCAGTGACCTTTGGCCAAGGAAAGGCTTAACTGTAGAGATGAACAGAACTCAAAAGGATAGGTTTCAACATGACAGACATTTTGCAATTCTGCTGCCTGATTCACTAACACAGGAAATATCACTTCAAAAACACACTCATGTGATTGCTCCAAAACCTTTGTATTTTACAAAAATTAAGTCACACAAATAGTCTCTATGGATGCTATAGTATGTACAAACTGAGTTAATAAAAATGGACACTTGATCCCATCTTTTTTTATTCTCCATATTAATATGTACCTTTACATTAGAAACCCCATCTTCTGATAAGCGCTCAACAGCCTGCTCCTCTTTTTCCCAGCCATCGAGAATTAACGACTTTCTGACTCTTTTGAAGGCAGAAATATGCTAGAAAATGACAGTAATGCCGTTATAATAGGTCCTTTCATATACAGGTAGATGTTGGCAGGCTGAAGCACCTCCCAGATTCTTATGTCTCATGGACACCGCATTTGAAGTCTCTGCAGCTGGCACAGCACATATGTTGATGTTACAGCACATAAAATGCAGGAAAAGGAGCAAGTCTCCTCCTGCAGCTAATGAAGCAGTGAGGCTCCATGCTGGGGGAAGGACAGAGCCAGCTGAAGCCAAAAGATATAAGAAGACAGTTACTGTTTCAGCCATCCAGCATCTACTAAACATACCTAAAATAATCAGTTTATGATGGACTCTCAGGTTAACAAAAGTTTTATTTTACCCCTTTTTCCACTTTAAAGTTCATGTCATCTTCATCTTTAATGAAGATATCTGTTCCAGTCTCTTGCTTGAGTACCTCTCGAATATCCTCTTCGAGATAGGCAAAAGGCTGTGACTGAAATGTACAATAGCACAGACTGAATGATGCAATATATTTCAGAATGGCATATTCAGACACTGAACAACTAGAGCATCACAATAAAAAGACAAGCAGATCTGGCTACAGACTATATGGACCAAAATCAGCAAGTCGCAAATTATTTTTTTAAGATCATCTTGATATGTTAAAGTGTTTGTCCAGGCATTATCCAAATTTCCCCCCAAACCTTCCTCTCCCCCACTACAGCATTTCCCTGCATTTTTATTACCTGTAGCGAGAAACAGCTTTAATTACAGTTCTGTGACATTATCAGGCTTGTAAAATGTTTGAGGGGCAGCTGCTGGGAGATCGGTGCATATTGATGTAGGAACACCCCCAAAGCCAGATCTCCCAAGAGTCCTGTCCCTACACACATTGTGTTGGTAGGCTCTTGGGAGTCAAGTTTACATGGAAAGAAATCAATGTATGCATGCCCTGCTGGATTACAGAATTATTCCTATTACCCCACCCTTCTCTGTGTCCTTCCAGACACAGAGAAGGATGGGGTAATAGGTGTAATTCTGTAATCCAGTATTTGGGGCTGATAAAGTTGGTTGAAATTTCAGTGCAGCAAAAAACAGATATTTTCTGTACTTGGTGCATTTAAAGGGATAGCACATGGAAAAATGTGCAATGATTGGAAAGCTGTACTAAATGTTTATATTAATTTGCACTGACATGCACTTGAAATGCCACAATGACTCTAGTGATCTATTGCATATATGCCCTTTCTAAAAAAAAAAAAAAAAATTATCCTACAATCATTCCCATTTAAATACTGACAATAAGCATGGGCTGTTTTGACTGATAGACTCTCCTTCACCCCATTCCTACCATTTTTTAAGTCCCCCAGCATTCCTTGCATTGTAATAAATGTCAAATAATTTCTATTGCCCATTAAGTTCCTTTAAAAGCATCTTCTCCTTTTTTCTAGCGCATAGCTCCCCTATAATTTTTGTTCCTGTAGATCACTGGTTCATTGCAAATGAAATAATACACAATGATTTATCAACAAAAACTGTACTAATCTAAAAAGGAAACGTGAACACATACCGTAACTTTTAATGGACCGTATTTTTTCTCCTGGGCAGCAAGAGCATTTTTAAAAGGTGTTGGTGTTCTGGGAGTTGTGCTCAGCAAAGACCTTCGTACAGTTGGTGTTCGAAATCTTAAACCAATACATAATATAAAAAATAAAAATCCCCCAAAAAATAAGTAAAATGCCAATATAATATAAAATTACTGTGTATAGTCTGTGTTTAAACAGATTATTACAAATACAAGCTAAAAAAACCCTCATGTTACCCCCATGGGAACAGACTGAACTTAAATACAGCTCCTAATAAAGGCATAGAGCTGCATGCAAAACCATGCTGCAGGACCTTCAGAAGAGTAAAGTGATATTAATGTCAAAAGGATTTTAAGCCATTTCAAATTCTGATTAAATCAATTACAATGGATGCCGATTCCTGATGTTTAAAAGTTTTAGTTTCCTGATGTTTAAAAGTTTTAGAATCATCTGGTCTCCTAAAGCACTTGTCCTGAATGTGTTTTAGAGTGACTCCTTTCTCAAGCAGAGTGCTGCGCAGTCACCCTTGTGTGTGCTAGTAAGCTGTGTGTGTCTCCAAAAACACGCAGACACATAAAATCAAGCTACTCCCCTCCCCCATTGCCTCCATCCTCCCTTCTCCAAGCTAGTAGATGAACAGTTACTGGAGCCTGCTCTGTCCCTTGTGATCTTGTACTGGACAGGAAGTTCAGGGAAGCTAGCTGTTCAGAAACAATGATTGTAAGTGTTTGGGCAAAAATGTAAAGCAATGCTTTGCTGGGCAATGTTTATTTGTTTTATGTGGATTCATTATTGAGAAAAAGTTTGAGTGTTTAATACTACTTTTGGGGTACAGAAAAAAAATTTCATTCCGCATACATGAGCAGGAAAGACCAATTGACCTGTGCTTATTAGGCTCCCCTATTTGGGATAGTGGGGATTAATGAAGTAGACAGTGACAGCTACAATAACATGAGATGACAAAACACAAACATCCCAATCTAAAACAGGAGTTTAAACAGAGTTTACTCTGCACTGCACCTCCATTTTACAAGTCATTCATGAAATGCAGTCTGTGGTGTGGAGCCCGAGGTGTCCTTTGTAGCGTTTACTGCATCACAGGAATACTTCATGATAGGAGAGGAGCTTGATCACATGGCAGGTCATGTGACTAGGTTCTCCTCCTTCCAGATCATAGGGCACATTTGTAATTCACTCCACTGCCATGTGCTCTGGTGTACAACATGGTGACATGAGTCATTGCATTTTTTTTATCTTAGTAAATTGCATCAACACACAATAAGCATTCCCTTTAACAGAGAACTCCAGGAACGAAATTACCAACAATTAGCATCATATTACAGCCATATCAGTGGTTTACCGCACCAAGATCCACATGCACGTAGATCTCTGAGCAAGAAGGAGAGCTCTTGGTGCCAAGAGTTTCAGGACCCCAAATGTGCTGATTTTAGAGTTAAATGTTAGGGCTTAGAGAGCTATGTAGTAGGTTAGGTTTAGGTTTGGCTAACAGGGATTCTATTTAATCTGTGATCTAAAATATATGGCATATAATTACTGATTAGAAGCAACAGAACCCTTTTACAAATGACAGCACCTAGGCTCCTTCCTGTGTTCTAGCCTAACATGTAACTGTCAGGACTTTGACATCATCAGAGCCAAATTCTGCCCACTCCAGTTTGTGATCACGAAGTTACATTATTGATGTCATTAGGGTTTGGGTCAAAGAACAAGAAGGGCTGCCTAGTGGTTGCGTGAACCTCTAATAATATGATGGCCACCTCACCCTGGACACTACTTAAAAGACTGTCAAGAGGAAGAATGTGATTACCTACCCAAGATTTTCTTTTTCCTCTGCAGAGGTCATCTCTTTCCTCAGAGGAGTAGTTAGATACTTTTGGACACAAATTGGAGTAGAAGTAAAAGCAGGATTTTCAAGATTTATTTGTTCCTGTACGTTGCCCGGGCAGACATTAAAAAACTACAAAATAAATACATTTCAGTTATGTTCAAAAAGTTGATATTTCTCATGTTCTTGCAAAAAATCAATTTAGTACAAGATTTTTAAAAATACAACAGTATCAACTACTGCAACTATTATTACATGTTGAATTTATTATAATGCATATTATAAGTGCTACACATCCACCTTGTCCGAGTGGAACTCATAGACTGATTTCTATACCATAGATACGCATGCAATTATGCAATGGCATAGCTAGCAGACCAAGTGAATACTATGGGCCCAGCAACATGCATAACCAAAACTGAAGAGGTCACTGGAGTTGCTACTGCAAAGTAGCGCAGTTCACCCAGGTACAGAGGAAGTTCAATGTCTAACTAGCAAATATAGAAGAGTTTCAGCTCAACTCCATAAAACAATTTTAACTTTTAAATCTTCCGTGCAAGAGCGATAATAAAAGACAGATCTTTGTTCGCAATATCTCCTTAGAAAAACTGCTATACACCAGTATACCACCAATGTTTGGCAGAAAAGGTAACTGTATGGAAAAGGTAACTGTATATCATAACAAACAAGGTCATGGCGTGTAGCTTTCATCTTCAATTTGATGACTAGAAAACAACTAGAGATATATGCGGTGGACCTTCTCTAGGTCATTGCAACAGGATAACAAGCATTCATCCCATCCCTCTTCTACACTTGAAAAGCTTATTTCAGAATTTTATGTCTTAGATTTGCTACTATAAGTAAAAAGACATTTCCTGGGTCCAGCTTTCATAAACAGTCAGTATCTGAATGATAAAGCTAGATCAGCAGGAGCCAGAATCTGGGGAAACATGCAAAAATACACTGGAAGTATTTAACAGCAATAACTGCACCAACCTGTGATGGGGAAAATGGGAGGGATTTTACTGGGGTGTTTTTCAGCATGGTATTGTTGGCCTCATAGACTTCATTTCTTTTTGAACCAGGCAATCTCTGCTGATCCTTTTTCTTTAGAATAGATGGAGATGTGGTATACTTTGATGCAAAGGTGGATGTTGATAACACTTTGCTGTCCTCAGAAACAGTCTCCACGTCAATAAATTCAGAGCTACAATCCTGTGAGGACTCCTGCAAAACCCAAACCATTTTTACTGGAGTCCGTTTGGCAGAAGTAATGTTAATGGATGCCTCAACGTTCGTGATTGCACCCCATGGTGTAGGATCCTGTTTGGATGAAAATCACTTTAGTAAATATATTTGTAGAGCTGGCCATTGCAGCTCTATGTTTGCTTAAATGTTTGACAAATTTTGGCTGTTACGATTTCCAATTCTTGGATTATAATAAAAAGTTTATATATATTTTTTATATACAGCTCAGAAATAAAGACGCAAATGATGAACAGCATTAAAATCTTGCTTTAAAAAACAAACAAACAAAAAAAACCATAAAATTATCTTATTGTGCTGCCTGAGTAGAAAATCATATTTGGATCCCCTGAAAATTGGCCTTAGGGGAGACATTCCAGCCATCCACAATGTGCACAAGTAAATTTCATGCTTTCACATGTGATGTTAAGTGTCCAAGATAAATCAAGGGATGGAATCCTAAACCTGAGAAACCTAAGAATATAACATCTCTAGTAGGATTTGGGAATTCTTGATTGCTACCGTGATTACATGACCTTGGGATCAGTTCCCAATCTGCTAAAAACTGAAGAGAAATCAGCTTTAGACTGCATTAAAAGAAAAGAACTTTCTACACAGAAAGTTACTGTCACTCCCAGTATATTTTAGTACAAGGAAATAGGTTGTCTGCAGCATTCTTCAGCCACCTATTACAGTGTGGATCTATTTTACACCAAACTATAAGTTTTCCCATTCTGTTCCCATTTTGTTTACGTTTCTCATCCCTTCCCAGGATATACTTACCTTTTCCTTTCATTCCTTCACTGCTCTATTTCAAAGTTTTGTTATTGGTTTCCATTTTTACAATGAAATAGTAAGTAACATTCAAATATCATATGCAACACAGCAATACATCAAATAATCCTCAATATCGTCGCTATGCCATCTCTTGCTAATCCAGGCCATTATAATCCCATTAGCTACGAGACCTTATGATGGAATGGCCCTCTGCTTTTTATCTGGGGGCTAGTGTTTTATTCATTTTCCTTTTAGCATTGAGGTTACAGTTGTTGCTTACTTTGGCAACACATGATGGTTCCCCTTGGTGGTCTCGTTCACACCCCTCACCAGGAGGCAAAGAAAACGGAACCATTAATTAATTAAGGAAGAAAGAAAAGTGAAAAAAGAAAAGGAAGAGTTGCAGACTCCTGAGTCCTGAGTATCCGAAACAGAGCTTAACCTGAGTGGGCTGACGATGTACAAGAAAGATTTGAGATTCCTAAATGTGTCAGCCACGGGTCCCATAGCGCTTGGAAGTTAGAATATCTAGCTTGCAGGATACTGCAATAATTTTTCGTGGATCATAATCCAATTTAGTTTTGACAGTACCATGGAGAATGGGGCCCTTTCAGCTTTCCAAAACAAACGACAAACGCACTCAATTTGTTACCAGTTATACAGTAAGGTGCACACGAAATGGGCTTTGAACAGTGGTACAGTAGAAAGGCATCATGGCACACTCACAAACCAGCATGTAAAACAACTTGTCTCACCACTAAGGACAATGACAGAGGTTTGGATACACGTCTTCTGCAAAGGATGTGTAAGCCACACTGCCGCGCCAAGGCACCTCTTATAGTGCGGTCCTAACTCTAAGAGGTGCCTTGGCGCGGCAGTGCGGCTTACACATCCTTTGCAGAAGACGTGTATCCAAACCTCTGTCATTGTCCTTAGTGGTGAGACAAGTTGTTTTACATGCTGGTTTGTGAGTGTGCCATGATGCCTTTCTACTGTACCACTTTCAGCTTTCTAGGCCCGGGCTATTGATGTCTTAGCCGCTAAGAAAAAAAAGATAAAAGTTTGCCCTGCGTCTTAGAAATGCCTGAAACTAGTTAGTTCAGTAAAAGGTGCAACGAGTCTCTCGGGACATGGACCCAGAGAATCCTAAAAAGCAGGGCAAAGTACCGATTCCAAAAAGGATGCAGTTTTGGGCACTGCCACCAGACATGGATCATTGTGCCCTGCTGATTGCATCCTCTAAAACATAAAGAACTGGACTCAGGGAACATGGTCACCAACTTGCTGGTACTAGATACCATCGAGAGAAAACTTTGTAATTAGCTTCTAATAGGGAGACATTAAGCAATCCTATAGTCAAACTCACGGTGCACTGTTTCCATTCATCTATGGAGAGTGCTATCCATTATTTTCATAAAGTACACCTAACTTAGAGTTAGAGCTCTCATGAAGACGTCTTTATTTTTGTTTGTATGTTTATAACTGGTAATGTCCTTCATTTAAACTCAACAATTCTCTGGTGTTTGGATTCATGGTCTATTCTTTAGCAATATGTATGACAATAATGGCGTGAACCTAAAAGCACACAAACCACCTGTGACCATTGCGGAGGGCTCTAGCTTGATTTTCAAAGGTTGACTTACGTGTTTTTTAAACACTTTTTTGCACTCAGGCAACACACACCACTTGTTTTGGTTTGTTTGAAAGAAGGATCATTGTCCTCATAACAACTGAGGGTAATATTTGACAAAGTATTAATGTGGGAGATACAAGTGAAATGTTTGAATAAACCAAACCTTTGAACTTCCCTTCGTATTTTTACATCATTAAAAACAGACTTGCACAATAGTGTGCCAGAATTTTGTTATTTGGTGTATAAAAAAAGAAAGGATATATGCTCATGGTACATTCCACCTCAAAGTTGAATCCACACCAATGCAATTTAGGTTATCCCATTTTCAAAATAGCACAGACCTTATCGCTTACTTTAATCTCAAGTACTCACCGGTTCAATCAGATCTAGCGTTTCAGAGAACTCTGGGATTACATCTAAGGTTGCCATTACAGGATTGGGTTCCAGGACAACAAGTTTATTTGGAGAGACCAGCTCACAAGATAGACTCTTAGGATCCTCCATACTGTAGAACTCACTGGTTTGCTCCTCTAGACTGTTTAATGTATTAGAAAATGTATCATCCGTAAGGAAAGTGTCAGACCAATTTGATGAACTTCCAGTCTGCCAAGACAGAAAAGGCATAAAGGTTGGAGAACAATATAAACAAATTCAATAATGGAGAAAGTCACAGATAAAAGATTTTAAAAAGTTACACAATATGGCTGTAGCATTAAAACATTAAACAATTGTGATAAGCAAAATGTAATAACCAGTAAACATCAAATCAGATATCTGCATAGACCAGTCATGGTTTCTGATTGTTATGGGATCATTGTATTTTGCACATCACTATTGCTCTTTGCACTGACTTTTTGAATAAGCAGGGTTATTTTATATAAATAAGCTCATGGAGGCAAATGGATAGGGACTATAGAAAGTCTTAGGGGCCAGCATCTCACCAGTGGGCAATTAGCTGAACTTCCAGAATGTAAACTACAGTCTAGAAGTTCATCTTTAACTTTTCTCCAAGGGTGAGCTCATCCACACTGATATTTTAGTTTCATGTTGAGCTTGGTGGACTGAGGCAGCTCTTGTTGCATTCTCCAAATACAATTTATATATTTAAAAATCATTGACTGGGAGAATAGGAACCCCTCATGATGGCCACACCATGTATATAGGAAATAAAGTGCAGAGATCTAACAAACAGTTCCTGAAAGGCTGTCAGATCATTTAACTTTCCAGCACCTAGAGAAGTTAGAAATAGTTTTGGCTGGACTGACCCTTTAAGTACTATACTTGTTATTTATAAATTTTAGTCAGAGGGGACGCAAAGCGAAATACCTGTATAGCGTCGTTCAGGCATGTTTGTCTATACAAAACAAATTTTTAAAAATTGGAATTTTGGTTGACCTTACGTTGCCTTATGAAATGGATTTATACATAAAAAATGTTAAACTGCTGACGAAGCTTTTAGGACCTGAAGCAAAAAACTGTGCACCTGGGACAAACTGTTCTTTGAGATTGATTAAAAATACACATTTTATACCGCCGGCTTTATGTTTTTTAAAATAGGGAAGCAAGTAATTAGGCGCCAAACCAGGAATTTAAAGAAAAGAATTGAATCATCCTGAGCATACACCAGGGCATGAAATAAGCAAAGCAAGACACTAATCAATAACAAAAACTGCAATGTAAATCGAAGATTGTATTGTAGATGTAAGCAAACCTCAAAGTGCATGAATCTCCAATGAAAACTGAAATTATACATGTTGTATTTTGGGTCATTGTATCTGTGAAAGGCTGGTAATGTTCTATGTTCGGTTTTTTTAAAAACAGGTTTTACTTTGGTTTTGTCCCCCTCTTATACTGTTGGCCTATAGGCAAGGCCCATGAGTAAGGCAAGGCCCATGTCTATCATCTACATTCAGTCAAGCAGACTTAAAGTCTGCGTAAACCCTAACTCCCTTCTGGTCTGTTAGATATACCACTAAAATAGTCTTGGTAACAACTGCAACAAAAAAAAAAAAAAATTGATAAAAAATACATATATAATCAGACAAAACTCTATTGAGGAGATTGCTTCCTGTGCTCTCTGCCTGTGCAGCACCGTTATCATTTAGCATCTTTGCAAGCTCTCTGTTGACTACAGAACTCTTCCTCCTTATGTTATGGAAGGAAGGAAAAAAAGATATTGTTGCCCTCTCCTTCGGTAACAATGCTGCTTTTCCATAGATAAGCAACAATGAGTGAACTTTGACTCCCTACCACAGAAAGTATGTTACTGGTAAGATCACCAGGTGAAAATTAAGGAAGCCTGAAAAAAATGAAAGTAGACACACATCTAAGGACTGGATGTCATAATGAATGAAGAAGGTGCAATCTGCCTCTGCTCTGGACAAATGCCATTCTGTACCCTTCATTAAAAAGGCAAAAAAAAAAGAGCAGATTTTTACCAGAACAGAGGTGAAGTAAAAGGGGTCACACTGATAATTCTTCATTGCTCTGCCTGTGTATTTATTCCTGGCTAACAGAGTACATTACTTGCTTTGCTCTCTGCATAGCAATGGTCAAAGCTCACTGTGACCTTAAACATGGTGGTCCTTATAACAAAAAATATATTCACCTCAAAAGCATGATATTATATCTTACTAGTTAAGATTATCTTGACCACTAAAGTTGTACAGTGGCTGCATGGTTGCGACATTTGTTTTGCAGCTTTAGGTTTTGGATTCAAAACCCACCTGGGACACCATCTGCATGGAGTGTATAAATACCCTCTGTGAATAGGTTTTTATCACAACCCATAAATATACTGGCAGGTCAGCTGGCTTCCTCCAAAATTGTGGTTGTAAGCTCCCTTGTGGGACAGGACTGATGTAAGTGGATCTATGTACTCTGTAAAGCACTGTGCAATAGGTTGGCACTATATAACAATATATACTAGGAATGAAATAACTGCACACTGGACACACTGGCACATTTTTTAGTAGAGTATGGGGACGGTTAAAACCATGGTCAGCCTTTTATTTCTCTCTAAGTTTATGCACTTTAGAACCAGAAATGAGGGAAATCCTTCTAGTGTCCCAGATTGCAGCAAAATGCACCAGGGGTTTCAAAACCCTCCCCAATATCCAAACATGTAAAAAAATAAAAACAACATTTTGGTAGGACAAACCTTTTAAATTAAAGAATAGTGCATAATTTTCCATATCAGTATGCATTTTATAAATAAAACAAACCCTTTTTTCCCACCTACTATGTAAAATAAGTAAAAGTCTGATTGTTTTGCAGTGACCTCTTGGCTCAGTATACACAATCACATCTGTCACTTTCCCATACTGCTCTGTCACCATCCTAGCCCTGCCACTAATACCACCAACAAGCAGAAAACATGGGTTAGAATGTCTTGAAGCTTTGAAGTGAGTGGAAAAGCAGCAGCATGCATGTAGGAGAAAAACAGAAGAGAGAACACAGCATTCTTACAGATGACAAACTCTTTCTTCTGACTTCATGCTCGGCTGACATTAGCAGCAATTCAAGCTCCTTTATCCGTTTTTCTTTATCGGGATCATCGGCATCAACAAAGGGCTGCTGAGAGAGGCATGAAAGAGAACCGGAGAAGAGACAGGAGAACAGGTCAAGAAGATAGAGATATCACATAGTCATAGAATAGGGAAGCACCCCATAATGAAAGTCATTGGGTCACAAGAAGTCTTCAACTCAGAGAGGTGAGAAGTTTTAATGCAAATTGTATAGCAAGTACAAAGAGCTAATCAGGAATCTACACTACTTTTTCCTATGACAATGGATTGTAAACAAAATTTAACAAAATCACATATGTATTATATTCCCTTATAAGTTTATCACATATAGAATTTGCAGCTCAAATTACAACCATGATAGGTATACAATCCTTACCAACCAATAAGAAATCAGAATTAGACAGACTGCAATTGGTCTACAGCACTTCTTCCCCATGTGCCATTATGATTGTTTTAGGCCTTTTTCACACCAAATGCAGAGCAGATCCGGTCAGGTTCCTGCACACGCAGTGCAGTGGGTTGTGCCGCGTTTTTGATGCGTTCAGGGGCTGTTTTTGCTTAAACATGGGCTTTCAGTGCGTTCCAGGCACTTGCATGCGTTTTGGATGCATGTGCATGCGTTCCAGAGCAGGTAAAATAGGGCTTGCTGCAGTTTTTTCACCTGCTCTGGAATTGCACGCTGCGATGTGAACTAGAGCCCAAAATACCATTGGAATATATTAGGCGCAGTTTTGATCCGGTCTGCAACTGCTCTGCACCTGCTCCGTGCTTGGTGTAAACAAGGCCTTAGTGTCTGTAGACACGCAGGTTATAACCATTATATGGATCAATCCATGAACACAGCATGTAAATACATCACAAACCTGGGCAATTCAAATTAAGCATATGAAGAAAAAAATAAATCAAAAGCATGTCAAAATAATCAGTAGACTCAAAATATAGGCAGATGAAGTCATACGCTAATCTCCGCCACTCTGAGAATGCCCAGTGTGGCTGGACTCCCTCTCATCTTATGAGCCATCTTAATGACCATGGAGACCACCTATCACTTTAAAAAAAAAAGGGCCGAAAGGGTAGCAGGAACGGTGGGGCCAAACCTTCATCGTACAGAACAAGCTTATATTTGCATAGATGTTCAGCTGCCTTTATCTCTAGATCTATTAATTGTTTTGACATCCAGTGTTCATTAAAAGGCATCCCCTGCGCATTTTTTTTACAGCAAGCTTAATTCAGATTTCCCAGTTTTGTGACAGGTTATACATATATTTATATATAGATACACTCAAACACATGATAGATAGATAGATAGATAGATAGATAGATAGATAGATAGATAGATAGATAGATAGATAGATAGATAGATAGATAGATAGATAGATAGATTTTTATATCTATATAGCATAAGTGTATGAGAATGCCCTTTATCTAGGCAGATATGAAGCACAGTAAATAGTGACAGCATGGGAAGGAGCACCCCATTTTCTGGCATGGAGAAAGTGGACCTCATCACTTTCGGGTTGATTTATAAATGTTCTGCCTATATGGCACTATGGAGCATAGAAAATTCCTATGCTCCTCAACACCATCTAGTGGCACTCCTGCTTATGCGCTTTTGCTGAGCTATACACTGGGTTGGAATATTTAGAAATCAGCTATTTAGAGTGTTGGAAGGAAGAATTGTTTGTGCTTGCAGTAGCATCTAGCTTCCCCTCTGCATGTCTTAGTGCTTACAATAAATGAAAGAAAAGCTACGATTGTCACAACTAACCTCAAACATATTCAGTATTAAAGCCTACTGGACACATTTTAATGCATGAACAGAATCACAATGACCTCTGAGAAAATACAAGTCGTAGAATATTGTATCGTACTTCCTAATATTTTATACACGGGAAGGGATTCATACCAGTATTTGTACATCTCAACACTTGCCCTATATTATTACAGGGAGAGGTTCTAGACAAATATCTATTAATAGGGGATTTTCCATGCTGCATTAAAAGCTCTTTACAAACAGGTTTTTGTTTTTTTAAGCTGACGTGTTTTTTAACCATTTCATATCATGAACTTTACCTGAATAAAGGCAAAAGAATTCTGAACATTTTCTATGCAGCTGTCATCAACAGACATATAATGATATCCTGGAACCTGCAGGCAAAAAGCAAACCATTTACTTGACTTCACACAAAAAGAATACATCATTTTATAGAGAAAGACTGCTGTTCTAAAATATAAGCTCTTGTACTAGACAATACATTATAGATCCACATGCCTATGTAAGTTCTCAAAATACCTGAACAATATGATTGGATGCAGGCATTGTTCAGGTATTTTGAGAGCCAGCGGGGCCGATGACGATCAATGGACATCATGCGCCAGATGTTTCTATATGATGACGTATGCTATATACCAGACATTATACGGGATGACATTTGTTTTTCGGTAGATCACCTTGTTCCTTATAAGCCACATTGGATTGGTTATTTGGCTGCTGCCTCCACATGAAAAAGTTGCATTACTACTATATGTAAATTTACCCACAAAGGATGCAGGGTGACTGATAAAGGTGTCTATGTTGTTTGACTGATGAAGGACTGGGCATTTTGATAATATGTCCCTCTAAGCTATATCTGCATGGTGGTCTCTGGCCATTTTTCCCTTGAATTGATTTCTCAGTTGTAATATACCTTGATACAGTATACACTCTAAATGTGGAACCTGATTCATTGATGTCAGGCGTATACAGACATATGACCTGCATATATATATATGCATATGGCTTATGACATACATGCAGATAGAGGAAGAGGAATTACAATTCTGAGATCTGAAAAAGGAAACTGGATGACTCCGATTACTAAATAAATTGAATCTACATAATTGTTCATATCAAGAAAATCAAGATGCTTTTATAAGTTTATTGAAATAGAGCCATGATCCTAATAAGGATGCTTTGCTGTGACTTGTAACAAAACATCCAGTAGGAAAATTACTGGGGGCTTATGTTTCTAGTATGTTTTATATATTAGCCTAACAAATAAACAAATACAGACCTTTTAATGGTATTTTTGGCCAAAAAGTAAAAATAAATATGTATTTCGATTTAAATTTCCATGAGTTCTATCCCACTCCTAATAACCATATTGATCTAGAAGTTTGTAAGGTTACTTAATAAAGATGACCATAGGATGTACTTCCTCAATGCACTGACATACAGTAATTTCACTCTCAATTTCACTGCACACTGAATACAAAAATAGCATGTATTGCTCCAACAATGCTGATGTTATAACAGGATCGTATTTGCTGTGGCTTTAGGACTCCTTTGAATATGAATTTCCACATAACTATATTACAGAGGGAGAGGTATGACACAGGTATGTTAAAACTACAAAGAAGATTAAATTGTCTTTGCAGTTTATAGCTTTGTACCAAATTAGCCAATGGACTTTTAATAACATGACAGCTGGAATCTGAATCGGTCACCTTGAAAGTGGCTGATAATTGCATGTCTATTCTGGTTATGTAAACCTGTTAAAGTGAAAGTAAACTCAGGAGTTAAATCTTAAAAATGCATTCAAGTACCTTAACGATTAAGAAAAATGTATCTTATTTGTGTATCATTCGGCTGTAGATCCTCAAATCATCTCTGAACTGTTGCAGACATTGTCCTTCCTTCTGGAGGGTGGCTACTTTTGTTCCCCATGGTTCCTGTGTGTGTTGTAAAGTAGCCACCGCTACAAGCTCACTCCCGTGATGGACTACAATCTCAATACAAATTAGTAAACTAAAGGTGAGATTATAGTTCATCACAGGAGTGAGCTTGGAGCGGTGGCTACTTTACAACACACACAGGAACCATGGGGAACAAAAGTAGCCACCCTCCAGAGGAAGGAGGGTGTCAGCACCAATTCAGAGATGATTTGAGGATCTACAGCTGAGTGATACACAAATAAGATATATTTTTGTTAATAGTTAAGGTAGTTGAATGCATGTTTAAGATTTACCTCCTGAATTTAGTGTCACTTTAAGTTCTGGATTATCAAGGACCTAAGGTAACAAAAGTGCTAAAATGTAGGCACTACTCCCCATATTAGTCTTAAAAATCAACCCCGTTGCTGTGAAGCTCTTCCAATCCGAGGCCTTGAATGTAATTGGGACTCTGAATTTTCTGCTAGGCAAGATTAAGCCCATAAGTCAATAGCATAAGCCCAGTGGGGATGTAGTGAACGTAAGCCCTCTGAACAGGAGACAAACATAACTAAAGAAAACCTGTACTGATGGAAATATGTATGCTGCCATTGGAAACCTTCTGAAAATGCCAGAAAGCCTCGATGGCTTTAAAATTCCTAAGCCACTAACCTGGAACAATTGATCAGAATGACAGCCTGGCAAATAGATTTATCAGAAGCGAAGGTTTCATATTTATTTCAGCACTGGTTTTCAGACCACTTAAAACAGGATGTTATTTCGGTTTCAGGACATTGCCTATTCATCATCACCCATCAGCTTCTTATATCACTAAGTGACTCTAATGGTCAAACGCTACACTTAAATTTCCAGATCTACCCGACTGGCATGGCCATTATAGTGGTTTCACTGTAGCCAGTGTTGGAGGATACTGAGAAGTGACCTATACATCAGCTTACTTTATCACTTCTTGTATCACTCAAGTTTTATGCACTGTGCCTGCGTGTCCTGTGTGTGTAAGATGTCAGGACCAATTACCACTTTTTCCACAAACACAGCTGAGCAAAACTGACCCAATGAAGCAATTTGGTTTCTTCGGCAAGGTAAACAGCTCATCATCACCAGGATCTACTGTGCAGTTAGACGGTCAGAAATTCAAATTGTGAGTGTGTTGGCACTCAAACCCCACTTTAAAGTGTCCAGCCAGGTTCCAGTTGATTGCAGTAGATCTGTATTCATCTTTTTCATGTAGTTATTTGATTATAGCTAGTGGCACTTAGAGGGCCGGTCTCCCTAAAAGTGATATTTTCATGTTAGGAACATGCGAGTTATGTTAGTTCCTGGCTGATTATGTGCCTTGGACATTCCAACATGCCATAATTTCCCACACTGTTGAGTAGGAAGACCCAAATCTCCCATCTTTGCATATTTGAGCATCTCCGGTTACATTCCCCTCAAAAGAAAATGTTAGGTGGCCTAACTCTCCATGATCTATAAAACTAAATAATACTTTTAGGTGGACTGACAATTAGAATACATGTAATGTACAGACTGTAAGTCCCTGAAGGCTGCATACAAGCCAAGTATAGGGATTTACTATAGAATAAATGTAATCTATTTCATTACGGTTTCTTAGTTTCAGAAATCCTCTTACTGTGTTAGGATCAAGGTCCTCATGCACTTGAATTCTGCAGTCCTGAAATACATATACCTCTAAAGCTACCGTGTATAAGACCTAGTGTCTTTTTTCATGCAAAAAAAAATAAAAAAAATAAGACAGTGTCTTATTTTCGGGGAAACAGGGTATAATATTTAACTGTGTTAACTTAGCTAGAATTCAAGCTAAGGCACACAAATCTCTGCTCCTACTCTATCAGTTCAATGCCACTTTTATAAGACCATAAAGCCCTGTTTTTAATGGCATAATACGGTATAATTAGATACACAGATAAGAAGTCATAAGAAGCTTAGGGCTGAATGTTGACATACTGTGGAAAAAAGGCACAAAAAAAAGACACAAAGAGCAGTTGGAGCGTGAATAAGAACCGGGAAGGTCATGCCAAAGAGAACAAAAGATTAGACATTTGGAATAAGAGAGCGCTCAGCTGTGTCAGATCAAGAGAAACGTAGTGGAGGACTCTATGGAAATACAGCATATCAGCTAGAGGTAGAGAAAATATTTTCACGACTAAATGAGGTACCAGCAAAGTAAAAAAGGCACTTTAAAAGCAAACCTAATCTCCATTATAAAAACATTTTAAAAATAAAAAGCTGTACAAAAGATTACAAGATGCCTGCTATTACTTAAAGTACACAAAAAATTAATGTCTGTGCCCCTCTTTAATTACCTTCACCTTGTTACCAGGACCTGAATTTCCCTTACTTCGGGGTTAATCTCAACAACTGCCAATGAGACGGTTCTTGAGGCAGTCTGCAGTCTTATTGGACAGTAAAAAGGCAGTTGGCAGGGCATTTAAAAAGCAGCGATGCTCTTTACAAACATGAATTGAGCGTCACAAGGCTGAATAAAGCGTAAAAAAATGAATGAGGTTGTAAATAAAACTGGGAATAAAAAAAAAAAGATTCAGGGAGGAGAGCCTGGGTGTGCTGTAAAATGCAGGCCGCGATTTACACAGCCCAGTAGAGTATAAAGTACAGCGCATAGCGATATTCTCCCTCTGTTATAAATCAGCCCCTTAGTTATGGAAACCATAACCAGATAAGGGCCTGGAGCAAGCTCTATTGGCTATTAAAGGGAACAGATTATGATTTATTGCCATCTATGACTAATTTATTTTTTTGGAGCGCTGAAATGCATTTTCATATCTACGCTGCTACGCAGAAGTGAAGTCTTGCTCTGAGCCACAAGGACAATACCATATTTGGCACGTCTGTCACATTGTAGTCAGTAGAGATCCAGTATGGCGATCCTTCCTTACAGAGTGCTGGCTCTGACCACAGAGAACTATCAAATGACAACTGCTCCACTGTTCTTTATTAAATTTAGGATGTTTTAATGCACAAAGTTTGTTGCACCTTGTTCACTGCTTCTGTTCCTATTTAGTTGCACATTATTCCAGTGGTGCATGACCAGCATGCAATAAAAGAACCTCATAAGAATTGTATTGTTGCCTTTCTAGTACCATTTCTAGGAAACCTTGATGTGCAAGTTAAGATGTTACTTGTTTAATATTTTTATAGACTCATAAATGGTGCCAATGGACTAAAAGAGCACTACAAATTTCTCACTTGATCAAATATGTATACTGTAAGTAGTATGTGCTTTACAATGTGGTATATAAAATACCACATTCAAAATAAATCTTTACACTGAAGATACTGTACATCTAGTTTCCCTTTGCATAAAAGCTAAAGGATGGTGACAATGAAAGCAGATCAGAGAAGCCGCTGGCAGCTGATAAGAGACAATAAAGAAAGGAACCTAGTGCTGAACAAAAGAGAGGATTTCTTTACAATGACAGTGATAGATGCAGTGAAAAGTAATGGAGCAGCGTGCCATATGGAGGAAGAGCCAAAGAGGTCAAGCAAAAACACTAAAAGACAGATCAAGTAATACACAAAAAAGTAAATAGATGAAGGCTTTACTAGATCACATGGGTGTAATATGACAAGCAGGGCATGGCATATATTGAATAGGAGCAGACATATACCTGAGATTGTGCTGGTATATAGTACTGGTTCTGAATCTGTATATGAAGTGTTTCACAAGGTTGGAGATTTGCTTTAGAGCTCCGATCACACTCCTTTGACTGTTGCAAATATCCCTCCTGTTCCACTTTCCTTTTCATAGTGGAATTCCAATGGTTCTTTATGGAGTTATCGGTTCTAGAGCAAAAAAAAAAATTACACATATTTCTTATCGTATGTCAATTGTCAACTTCTTACTCCTGAATGCATTTAAACCACATGTAATGAAATTTAACTCAAAGCAAAATTAAAATTATTTTGGAAAGTATTTCTTTCAAATATGTGCTAAAAAACATGTCACTCAAACCAAAAAAACTAAAGAATCACAAACCAGGAGACCCATAAATCTGCTAAAACCAGATGACAAATTTCACATCACTTTAAGAAAAGCAGTTCCATTGCACTTGCCACCATAACAGCTGCACTATTCACTAGTCACTCACATCCTAATAGTGATGCCATCAGAATGCTGATGCAGTTTAAATATTTAAGGTATACCATATGAATGGGAAAATGTAAGAAATATAAAGTATCCCAAGTTAGCTGCAAAAGTGGAAATACACTTTAAGAAACCTAAAATATATCTGTAAAAATACATTTAGGTGCCATTCACACCTTTTCTGACTGGTGCACTATGTGGCTCCTTAAAGGAGAACTCTAGTCCTCCTTAAAGGAGAACTAGAGGCAGAGCCAGCTGTACCCGCCACCTCCGTTCCGCCAGTCAGCGCTGGAGGATCGGACAGGGGTGGGGGGAATCCAGTCACTCCCCTGTCACGGCTCTCTGCAGTGACAGGATCAAGAAGTGAGCGAACACCGGTATGTGTTTTCTCACTTCCCGATCTACTGAGCCGACCTGTGACAGTTTAATTGTCACAGGTGGGCTAGAACTATGAGGATGAGAGAAAATCACTCACCTCATGGTTCTCCTTTAATGTTAGATTAAGGAACTCCATTCGTTTAAAAATGGGCAGCTAATGTACCACATTGGAAAAGAAAATGCACCAGCATACCACAAAGCACAGAAGTGCGTTACCGGGCATTGTGGTGCACTACAACACAGCCGTGTTCCTTTAATGAGTTAGGATGCCATTCAGAATGAATGGCATTGTATCACACTAACATGCACATGGTTGGTCGTGCTAATGTGTGAGTTACCGCTATGCATAGTTGTAAAGCCACTTTAATATAAGGTATTTTTACCTACTACTACTAAACAAGAAGTGCCCTTTAAAACACTACACCATTCAACTCTGAGTACAGTTTATCAGATTCATTGTGTGGACCTACATATAGGACCAAAATATCCAACATCCCTATATACATTCCATATTTGTAAACCATAACGCTCGTTTACCTCCCTGGAAGTAGCTTAGCAATTTCTGCCCAACGGTTTCCAAGCCTTTTATGAGCCTCATAAATGACACGGTCCTCCTCTTCTGTCCAGGAAGACTTCTTCACCTCGGGATTCAAATGATTGTGCCACCTTTCTCTGCACTGTTTCCCAATTCTTCCTTTTAAGTGCTTAGCAATGAGAGACCATTTTTTCGGTCCATATTTATGAACTAATTCTATCACCTGTAAGAAATAAAATGCATACATGCAGTGAAGGCACTTATAGCTTCATGATGGTAAAAGAAAAAACACAAAACTGTAGACAAGATGGTTAGTGGTTGTCAATGTGGAAAAGAGTGAGATCACTAAGTAAAACTAAACCCGTCCCTTTTTTTAATCAACTAAAATAGGAACATTTATAAAATGAAGACAGCTGCAAGTTCCTCAAAAAGTTCCCTGCAAACCCTAACCCTTTGTGGTGAGTGTGAAGATAGGCCACCACCACTTTTATCTCTCTACTGGCCCCTCACATTGATTGTCAGCCTCACTAACCATCAGTGATGGAAGGGAGAAAGAATTGTATCGATTGTCTAACACAGGGGTTGGCAACTCCGGCCCTCCATCTGTTGTGGAACTACCAATCCCATGAGGCACTGCAAGACTGACAGTTACAGGCATGACTCCCAGAGGCATGTTGGGATTCGTAGTAAAAGCACAGCTGGAGTGCCGAAGTTGCCCACCCCTGAACTAACATCACCAGAAAATGTGTTGTCCCTACATCATTATATTGACTGATAGCAGAACTTATAAGGTGCAGAATAACTTTTGTTTCCTGGTTTAGATGTGCTCGACCATGACATGTTGAGAAATGGAAATACACATTTTTTTCTTCTCCTAACAATGCCTGATTGGCTGGAAGACCTCTTGATATCATCAGTTACTGGCTTTTCCTGCTTTTTCTTCCAGCCAGCCCCTGATGATGCAGTGCCAGATCTCGAACATGCACAGGAAGTTTAGTGTACATGTTGTCAACGTCCATGCAAACTCACATAATGACTCTATCGCAACATGTAAACAAGCCATAGCTTCCTTACTTTTTTTGTTATCAAGAGAGATTGAGAAAAAGGGTTAAACATCTAGGAAAACACTTTAAATAGCAAAGGAGAAGTATAAAAGTGTTTACCCTTTGGTCTTCTTCCTTGGTCCAAGGGCCCTTTATTAGTTCAGGATTTAAAACTTTCTGCCATCGATGCTGACACTGAATATCTGACCGGTTCTAAAAGTAAGAAGACAAAAGCACAATTTAAACTTGAACATGAAACATCAGACACAGAGAGATGTGCCGGAAAGTTTTTGGGTCATGTTGGCCCTCAGTCCACATGACTACATCACTATGCCAAAGAAAAAGCCTGTGGGCTATGCATGGATCATTGGCATACCAAGTAAATGTATTGCAGCTCAGTGCTGATGGTCGTCAGTACAGTAATTTATGGGATTTCAAGCTGGCTCCAACAGAACCTGGAGGTAGAGCATTGTAGTAACATTATAAAAAAATAGATAGGAATAGAAACGATGGCAGAATTACCAATCAGCAATATTCAGAGGTAGAGACTTTTCTTTTAGGTCTTATTTGGGGGTTTTTTCAGCCTTCAACAAGCACACTAAGTAACAGCTTTCCAAGCATTTCAGTTTAATCGTTTATCCTATAAACCTGTTTTACAAGTTGCCGCAGGTGTCTAATAATCAGCCAAACTATGATGTAAACAGCCTTTGTAAAATGATTACTCATTAAAGCATTAGCACAGAGGATAATACAGAAGCGTTGCCAAGTACTTGATACACTAAAGGTGCCCATTCGCTGCTCCAATTTCGGCCGGTTTTTAATATACCGGCCGGAATTCGCACAGTTTGTGGGGCTGTCAGCTCCCTTTCAGCCGGCATTCTTCGATCAACTGACTGAAGGAGGCGGCTGGAAAATTTTCCATCAATCAGAGCCGGCAGCCAATGAGTTGCCCGATCTGATCGGGTATTCTGACAGGTGCCGGCGGCACCTGCCAGAATATAATTTAAACAGAAAGATTCATCAATCGACACGCTGTTTGTGTTGATGAAGGAAAATCGGGTCAATTTTTTTAATTCAGCCCGCGGGTTGAACAAAGAAAATTGATAGGTGTATGGCCAGCCTAAGTGTTAAGGTCAGTTTGCTATGTAATCAGCTAGTTAGTTAGCAGGTAGTTACCCAATATTGTTTGGCATGTAGAACACCAGAACCACACACACACACACACACACACACACACACACACACACACACACACACACACACACACACACACACA